GTCAGAGAGAGAGTGAGAGGAGAGAGAGAGAAAAGAACGATCTTGTTACTTTAGAGGGGTATGACAATATTGCTGATGTGTTCATTGGGATGCGTCGACTGCTCTCCACCAACTACAGTTGCATTTTAATGTAACTTTTTAGTGTTCTGTTCGTTTCAAAGTTGGAGGCGTCGCGGGCTCTTTAGAGCTCCGACTCCACCGCCGCCGCCTGGCTACTGGCTCCTGATACCCCTCTCTGTGCCCTTCTCTCTGCTTCACCCGCCCTCCCTCTCTCTTTCACTGTGTGTGGACTGGAGCTACGGGTGAGGAGAGGAGATCGCCGCTTCCAACTGGTTTGAGCTTGAGAGCTGTCTCGTTGACTGCATTTTCAAAACTGTTGTTGCAGGTGTAACCTCCCCTGCTGCTCCTTAGCTTGGGTTGCACGTGTCACCGGCTGCTTCGCTGCAAAGCCTGCAAAGACTGGCCCCGGATTGATCCAGTTTTCTTCTGGGTAATCCACCTGCGACCCCTCCAATTGTAGGACGACAACATAATGATGCTCGCAACCACAAGGACCCTCTGCCTGGCTCTGGCGGCTGCCGTTCTGGTCGCCGCCAGCGCCGATGTCACGCCTTGGATGAATCTGCAGGTCCGTGATTTACATGTGTCTGCCTTTCTTCCGCGTCGGTGGCGAGCCCTGCCCCAGCGACCATGCCCTGACTCACCACCACCACCTCCTCCAACGATTACGGCAAACTCACTAGGATGATCCTGAATCGCGTGCCCACGCACTCCTCGCGCAAATGACGCTGGCCGAGAAGGTCACCATGTTGCACGGCCATACCGAGGGCAACTACTCGGGTAACGTCCCAGCCATCACGCGCCTCAACATCCCAGCCCTTAACCTCAATGACGGTTCGTATCGTTCTTCTCGCATACAAAGCCTCGAGCACGTTCTCGGCACTGCACTGGCGCTCCAATTCATGTCCCGCCACCCGCACTGCACCCAGGCCCGCAAGGCTTTCGTGCCCCCGAAAAGCTGAGCGGCACTAGCACTGGCTTTCCCTCCATTCTGACCCTGGGTGCCACCTGGGATCCGGACATGGCCGCTGCATACGGCACTGCCATCGGCGAAGAGTTTGCGGGCAAGGTCAGCCGACCGTGAGCCAGCGTAGACGACCACGCGGGGCCGCCCCCCAGCTCCGGCCACCTCTCACTCGAGAATTGCTCTTGCTCCTGTCATTCCTCGCGTCAGGGTGCCAACGTTTACTTGGGTCCTGGACTCAACGTGGCCCGTGTGCCCCTCTGCGGCCGCAACTTTGAGCAAGTGGTGCCTCCACCGCCACCCCTCGCTTTTTTTTTTTTTTTTTTTCAATAGTCGCCCAGCCCGTTTCCTCATCATGTTCTCTTGTCTCTTGTGTTCATAACGTGCGTCTCACCCAACAGGTATCTGTCGGGCGAAGACCCATTCTTGGGTTACACGCTCGTGCAACCCATGGTCAAGGCCGTGCAAGCCAAAAATGTCATTGCCAATGCCAAGCACTGGATCAACAACAACCAGGTTTGTAGCACAAGAGTCCTGCCGTCCCAAACTTTTTTTTGTGGATAATATCTTTCTGGGCTCAGAATCAGTCCACCCTAAATCCAAAGGGGTGCAACGAGGCCAGACGCTTTGCCCCAGTCAAGCGTCCGGCTGGCTGTATGACCTAATTCGTCATCCACTGCTTCCTTTCCAGGAAATCAACCGCGATCGCGTTAGCGCCAACGTGGACGAGCGCACGCGTTTCGAGATGTACTACCCGCCCTTTGAAGGCGCCATCAAAGCCGGGTGGGTTTCAGATTGCCGAGTCGCTTCAATGTAGTTTTGCATCCTTGGCTAGCGCAGATCTCGGCACTCGCGTAAATTCATGTTTGCTTTTAAATGGCGGTTTGCTGCACGTTTGCTTCGCTGGATTGTAGCGTCGGCTCCATCATGTGCAGTACGCGACACGGCCCGTTCTTGAACTTGAGCGAGTGTCGCCAGTGCTCAACTTACTTGCGCACCGTTCATGTCTGCCCGGGCCGTCAGGTTACAATCGCATCAATCACGTGTACTCGTGTGAGAACAATGAGACCCTCGGCATCGACTTGCGTCAGCGCTTGCTCGGCTCCCAGCGCGCCTGGGTCGTCAGGTGGGCTGTTTCGGGTCGTAGTCTTTTGTGTAGCATCAGATCTTGGGTCTACTGGATCCGAGGTCACTCTGATGGTTGCTAATGGACTTGTGCGCTTGGATAGTGACTGGCTGGCCACACACTCCACATCTCTGGTTGAAGGGCTGGACCAAGAAATGCCCTATGGCTTGTTCTTCGACTCGCTGCTCGAGCTGGACTTGGACCTGGACCTGCACAATGTCACCGTGGCCGCCATTGATAATGCTGTTCTCAACATCCTGACGCCCATGTTTGCCGTTGGTCTGTTTGACCACCCGCTGAACGGCACCGTCGAGGCCAACGTGACCAGCCCCGCGCACAACACGGTAGCTCGCAAGGTGGCTGCGGCAGCCACAGTCTTGCTCAAAAACGACGCAGGCCTGCTTCCCCTCAACGCCACCCAACCCATGACCATTGGTGTCTTTGGCATCCAAGGCGATGCAGAAACATGGGCCCATGGCGGGTACGGCCCATCTTCGTGACAAACCTTTTGTGTGTGTGTGTGTGTGTGCGTGTGTTGTGCGTGTTGTGTGTGTTGTGCGTGTTGTGTGTGCGTATTTATCTCACCACACCGATGAACATGTTTATGAGCACGCAGGGGCTCTGGATCGGTCACGCCGCCATACATTATCACACCTTTTCAGGGTGTGCTGGACGCCCTTGGCATTCAGCGACCGGCAGGCCACACTGGCCAGGTATGTGCGCGCGCGCATGTGTGTGTGTGCCAACGGGTCAACACCACCATTCAGACGACACTGCGCAATCATCACCAGCAGCTCACTTGAGCGTGTGGGACGGGGTAGGAGGACGCACCAGTTGGGCCATTTTGCAACGCCCACCAGCAGTGTGTGACTTACTACGAGGGTCAGAATGATACAATCACCGAGGCGCTGGCGGAGGCAGTGGACGTGGCTCTGGTGGCCGTAGGTACAGCCTCGGGCGAGCTGCTGGATCGTGTTCACCTGGGTCTGGGTCGGGGGCAGGACGAATTGACCACGTTGGTGGCGAGCCACAACCGCAACACGGTGGTGCACGTGACCTGTCCGGGTGCCGTGCTAACTCCGTGGCGCAACGACGTGTCGGCCATCTTGGTGGGGTTCATGGGCGGGCAAGAGCTTGGCCATGCCATGGCCGATGTGGTGTTTGGTCACGTAAATCCCTCGGGGCGCCTGCCTGTGACCTTTCCCAACGTGGACAACGAAGTGGGCTTTGCGGAGCGCCAGTATCCTGGAATCGAGGACCACCTGCAGACTTACTATGACGAAGGCCTCGAGGTCGGCTACCGCTGGTATGATGCACACGGCGTGACCCCAGCCTTTCCTTTTGGACACGGTCTCAGCTACACGAGCTTCAACTACTCGGATCTCACCGCCAACAGCACGGGCGTCTCAGTGCGCATTGCCAACACGGGCTCCGTGGCGGGTGCGGAGATTGTGCAGCTCTATCTCGGCTTTCCCAGCAGTGCGGGCGAGCCACCGCTGCAGCTCAAGGGCTTTGCCAAGGCCATGCTGGCACCGGGAGCCACAACAACAGTGCATCTCCCACTGACAGATCGGGACCTTTCCATTTGGGATGTCCAGGACCATGCCTGGTCCAAGGTGCCGGGCACCTTCCAAGTCCAAATTGGCAGCTCCTCGCGCGACGTCCGTCTCGCCGGCTCCATTACCGTTTCCCAATAGATCTCGTAGTAGAAGCCACCGTTCACGGTAGATGAGAGTAACCTGATGTGTTGACACTCTATCAAGGCTGGATGCTGACCGTCGTTGTGTGTCTGATGGACGTTGGTGCAAAGTACTGCCATTGCCATTGTGCGCCTCCATCTCCGTGCGCTGTTCCGCCCGCCCGACTGACATATCTCCCTGAAAACCATCTGACATTGTCCGCAGTCAAACGACGACGCACATTCTGTTCCTAAACTGTCACACACTGTAACCAAACTGTCACAGGCCCCCACAAACTAAATCACCCGACTTTGCCTGCCTTGACCAACAAAGGAACCGGTCAGAGAATGGTTCGAGAGCGGTGCATGAACGTTCTTGATTCAAGCCAAACTCAGTATTAACTTAGAGGGAGGGGGGGGGGGGGGGGGGTGATTGATTTCTTCAAAAGTCCTGCTGGGTCCACGTGCTGTTTTTGGCGTCGACGGCGGCGATGGCAATGGCGATGGTCAAATGGCAGTGCGGTCGCGGCGACCCCCCGGGAGTCGCTAGCTCAGCTCATCGCAGTCGACCCGTCAACTCCCAGGTTGGGGGCTCTTTGTCGCCCGCGCAAAACGCGTCCCTTAGGCGCCGTCGCAAGGTAGGGAGCAGTGAGAAGGAAGGAGCAGTGAAGGGGAGAGGGGGGGGATCGAAGTGACGCGCCTTCGTAGCAAGGAAGGTGTGAGCGGGTTCGGGTCTGGTGGGTCTGGTCGTCCGATGTGCTGCCAAACCCGTCATCGCACCGCCATTGCTTTGGGACTGCAATACGATAATGGTGCGAGCGGGGTTGTGGTGTTGCACGCCATTGACGCTGCAAGTGTTGACGGGCACGACATTGATTCGTTGATGGAGGATGGGACGTTGGGAGGTGATGGTCATCTGGCACAGCCACATTCACAATTCAGATTGCCCCATTCACAATTCAGATTGCCCCGAGGATCCACGACTAAGGGGCACGCAAGAATGGCATCAAAGCGCCGGGGATGGGTAGCCAGACGTTTTGCGCCCTCTCAACTTCGGTCCAGGCTCAGGGGGTCGATTCCCCGGCCTTCCCCGACCGTTGTGAGAGACGCGTCAGCAAGACCATGTGGTCACGCGTGGCCGGCGGTTGTCCTCTTCAGGAAGCGGGCATGTCCTGTCTCTACGGGATGCGGGGTGGCATGACCATCTCTCTGGTTTTGCGTTTGATTTACAGTGGGATTGATGACGTGATTGAGGCACACCTCTGGGTCTGGGTGCGTCATGTCGAAAAGCAGAGAGGAGTAGGCAATAGGAAATTGACCCCGTCTGAACAGCAAGCCAAATCCAGAGAGATACGGGGTAGGTAGTCCAATGTTAATTGAAGAAGAACAAAAGAATTGGATTTCTTTTGTTCTTTTGTTCTGTTTTGTGTGTGTGAGTATCTCGGTCGTCTCTGTCTCTGTCTCTGTCTGTCTCTGTCTCTGTCTCTGTCTCTGTCTCTGTCTCTGTCTCTGTCTCTGTCTCTGTCTCTGTCTCTGTCTCTGTCTCTGTCTCTGCCTCTGTCTCTGTCTCTTTCTCTGTCTCTCTCTGGCTCTCTCTCT